GGTTTCTCCGCGTCTCTCTGCAACATTAGCAGACCCAAATCTAATTTCGCTCGTAACTTTGCTCAAAATGAACCTAGAAAAGTGAAAATATGCTCATTTTTTGGATTTTTTTTTGAAAATTAGCAGACCAAAGATTTTATTTGTTATTAATTTCTCTTATTCTCTGCGTCTCTTTCTCTCCCCTTCTCTCTCCTTTCTCTGTATAAATTTCCATCTAATTTCAGGACCGTAATGAAATAAAGCCAAAAAACAATCAAAATTGAAAAATATGGGTAACCACAGAACTTTATGGAATGCTTTCGCCTTTTTCTGTCTCATACATATCGTTGGCGGTGCTGAACGGGTGACTAGAAGTAGGTTAATTTTGTTATAATTGCCACGTTGCAATTTTTTTTTGTTGTAGATGTAGAAGTGACAGCAGAGGAGGAGAAGATTCGCGACAAGTTGGGATATGAGGTATGTGGAACGAAGATAATGAGACCGAAAAAACTAAAACTGGATTTTAGGCGATCCGAGACATTCATAGAGATATGGACGATGATCATTCGGGATCAATTGATCGGAATGAATCAACTGGGGTAAGAGAGAAGACATCGGGACACACAGACAGACAGCATAATCAATTTTTCCACTTTTAGTTCATGAAAGAAGACATGCAAATGCGTGGCTCCGAACGAACACGACGAGAGAACAAGTTTCATGGGGATGACGAGGCGATTACGGTAGACGATTTGTGGGAGGCGTGGTTTGAGAGCATAGAGAGGACTTGGACTAATGAAAGGGTAGGAAGTTTGGATTTTTGAAAAATTGAAAAAAAAATTTTTTTTCAAAAATTTGAAAATTTTTACACCATCCGATGTTAAATTTGATTTTAAACATTTTTTCTCTTCGAACTTTTTTCCTGGCTCTAATGGTTCGGGAGATATAACCCCTCAAAGAGGGGGGAGAGGGAGACGCAGAGAAACGAGAGCGCTCTCGCTTCTCTGTGTCTCTCAAAAAGAGGTGTAACTCGGCTAGTTTTAGAGCTAGAGAATTTAAAAAAAAGGGAAATATGTGTGAAATTGAATTCTCTACATTTTGTCAAATGCAGACCTAACTCAAAATTCACGTAGCAACTCCAAAAAATAATATTTTTAGCTCGTCGAGTGGCTCATCAACGATGTCAACATCCCCAGCATCATTGAAACGGTGAAATTAAAAAAAATCGATGGAAAAATTCTGCCACGCTTCGCATCACCAACTTCTGATTATCTCAACAAAGAGCTGGGTATCAAATCGTCCGTATATCGCCAGAAGCTTCGCTTAAACTCCCTAGACGTTGTTCTTTTTGGATATAAGGATAATAATAACAAAACGAAAGACATTCTTCTGGCATTTTTGGCACTTTTATTGACTTCTTTGATCTTTTTATACGTCCGACAGAAGCAGAAGGCTCAACATAAGCTTAACGAACTGTCCAACAAGTTAACCGAGCTAAAAAGTATGGAAACAGAGTTTGAAGACGTGCAGAAGATGTTGAGTGATGAGAGGAGTAAAAGATCAATTTCTGATGGAATTGTGTCGAAAACGGAAATGGAGAACCTCCGAGTGCAGCTAGAAGAAGCTGAACGTCGTCTTGAAGCCAACACGAACGGATCTGGAACCCCTTTGGCACTCCAACCATTGCTCAGAAGAACTTGTGAAAATGAGATGGCATTTTTGGAAAAACAACGACAAGACTGTTTTAAAGAAATGAAGGAGGCCATAGAAATGGTGGATAGGCTTCAGAAGAAACAGGGGAGTGTGTTGTCATCGTTGAAATTAGCTACTGGAGCGGCGTCGACTTCCGATCAGGTGGATTCGAAGATTTTTGCGTTGAAGTGAGTTTTTTACGCTTCAAAACGAGCCATTTCTCAAATTCCTAGGCTAATTTTGAAGAAAGTCATAGAGGAAATTGAATTTGGGTCTGCTAATTATTTAGCAGACTCGAAATTCTTGTTTCCTTCATAACTAGCTTCAAAATCAACGTAAAATGTGAAAAATGGCTCAATTTCTCGCAATTTTCAGCTTAAAATCGCTAAAAATTAGAAATTTGTAAAAATTTTCAAAAAAAACTCGGCAAATTTCAAGTTTTTTCAACAAGTTCGGAGTTTTTCAGTGCTGAAATTGAGAAAATGCCTGAAAAACGCTCCAAAGCGAGCTATTTCTTGAATTTCTAGATAAATTTTGAAGAAAGTTATGATGGAAATTAAACTTTGACCCCCTTGGGTCTGCTAAATAATTAGCAGGCCTAAAGAGACGCAGAGAAACGAGAGCGTTGGCCTGCTAATGTTGGCGCGTGCTATTGAGAGACGCAGAGAAAAGTGGTCTGCTAAATATTTAGCAGACCAAAATTCTTGTTTTTCGTCATAACTAGCTTCAAAATCAACGTAAAAGAGTGAAAAATGGCTTGTTTTTTCGCAATTTTCAGTTAAATTCGCTAGAATTCAGAAATATATGAATTTTTGAGTTTTTCAACAAATTCTGAGTTTTTTATGCTGAAAAACATAAAATACGCTTCAAAACGAGCCAAATTTCTTAAATTCCTAGGCTAATTTTGAAGAAAGTCATAGAGGAATGTGAACTTGGGTCTGCTAATTATTTAGCAGACCCAAAATTCTTGTTTCCTTCATAACTCGCTTCAAAATCATCGTAAAAAAGTGAAAAATGGCTCATTCTTCTGCAATTTTTAGGGAAAACTTGCCTTTTTTGTCAAGAGTTTTTTCTAAAAATAATTCTGTTATTTCAGAAATCGAATGGAAAAAATTCACACCCTAACGCGAGAAACCCAAGAACGATGGATGCAAATCGAGTCGCTTTGCGGTTTTCCACTGCTTTATTTGAATGGTAAACGCTAGATTTTTTTCTTAACAATTCAATTTGGGTCTTTTCCCGGTTTTAATTTTGATTATCTAACGAATTAACGAATTTCAGAGCTTTTTGTATCTTTTTTTGTTATATAATAACCCTCTAATAAATAATTTTCTAAAATTGGGAATTTTTCGTTTTTAATCTAAAAATCGAAAAAAAGCTCAAAAAAGTTTCAGAAACCGAGCATCTTAATCGAGCCGTCAACGCCAATTCGCACTTCTACAATAATAGTCAGGAGGGTACGTGGATTTTTCTGGAGTTTTCTAAAAAAAAGAAAAAAATTTCAGGATCCTCATCATCTGGATCCATCACCAATTCGGCGAATCAGCAAAATTTAGCGAAAAAAGTAAGAATTTAAAAATTTGAATCACAAAAAAAATGAATAGAAAACAATAAAATCTAGCAAAGCTGAAAAATTCTGAAAATTAAAACTTTCTGAAATAAAAAAAAAAAAAATTTCTTAAAATAAATAATTTTCAGCCTCCATCATCTATAACAACTACAACTTCCACGTCAGCACCTCAAGCAACAACATCAGCTACTATACAATTTGTGCCGACTGGAAAAACGGATGGTAGCATCCATTCGGAAGACGTGTCACCCGTCGTAGAGGATCAAATTACGATTCCGAGAAGCTTGACGTTAGTCTCATCTCATTTTTATGTGTGACAGAGAAATTAGAGACCAATTAGGGAGAAAATAAGCTAATTTTCTCTTTTCTACGTTGGTTTTGAGCTAAGTTACAGCAAGAAGTAATTAGCAGACCAACGCCCTCACAACTCGTGAGAGACGCAGAAAAACGGAGAGTGCGTTGGTCTGCTAACTATTTAGCAGACCCCAACATTCACGTGGATTTTTGGGTCTGCTAATTATTTCTCTAGCATATTTAGCGAGCTAGCAATTTTGACCCGAATTCGCCGAAAATCAACTGCCAAAATTACATAAACTAAAATGACCAAAACGTTAAGGACAATTTGAATTTTTTGGCTTCCAAATTGCTTTAAAATTTCAAAATATCAGCTTTAAAATATGAAAACTTTGAAAAAATGCTGAAACATGGGCCAATTTTCACTTCTCTACGTTGATTTTTAGCAGAGTTATAAAGAAAATAAGATTTGGGTCTGCTAATGTTGGCGCGCGCGCTCTCTGTTTCTCTCCGTCTCTCAGTAGCAGACCCAAACAATAGCAGACACACACACACCTTGGGCCTGCTAGTGAGAGACGCAGAGAAAGATACATCGCATAAATTATTAGCAGACCGCTTTTGTTCTCTATTTCTCTGCGTCTCTCAATAGCAGCTAATGTGAGACGGAGAAAAGTAGAGAGCGCGTAGGCCTGCTAAATAATTAGCAGACCAATGCGCTCTATGCGTAAAAACACTAGCAGACCAATGCTCTCGTTCCTCTGCGTCTCTTTGGCCTGCTAATGTTTGAGTGTAGCGCGTTGGCCTGCTAGTGAGAGACGCATTGAAGCAGAGAGCGCGCCGGTTGGTCTGCTAATTATTTGTTGCTTTAACTTTGCTTAAAATCATCTGCAATTTTTGTAGTTTGTAGTCTAGCAGACTAAAATTAATAATTATTTTCAGCCAAGACCTATCGGAAGACATGCAATCGATAGTATCCGGCTCCACAAATGGAACATCTTCTGGAATAAAAAAGCGAAAAGGAATTCTGCCGAAACTATTCCGTCGAAACACATCGAAATCCAGCAGTCTTGGTGGCACATCCAATTAGATCGATTGTCGATTTTTTTTGTTTTTTTTTGTTTGCTCATCCCTTTTTCTATGTATATCAATTTTTTCAAAAATTTCAGCTCCTGGTGATTTTTCTGTGATATTTTCATGTTTTTTGCCTTTTTTCTATGGAAATATAGCCAATTCCTCTCTCAATGATCTTTCGGAAAAAATTAAAAGAGAGTTTTACAACAATAAAAAAGTTTTATTTGAGAAATTTTGAAACAAAATTTAAATTACAAGCAAAAAAATTAGGTTTACAGCAAAAAATAAAATAAAAATGACTTATTTTTCTCAAATAATAGAATTTAAAAAATTGGAAAAATCGATAACTGAATTTTTTGGATTTCTACGAAGCGAAGCAAATAGAAGCAGATGGCGTCAGATGTTGGGGGAATCATTACTACTGAAGCAGCCTGCCGGGGAAGCCACGCCCACTTTTTTCGTCGTTTCTCAGTTGCCACGTGGCACGAACAAGCCGTCTGGAAAAATGAATTTTCAGCGAAATTAAAAAAAAATAAATTTTTTTTGAAAATTTTTGAAATTCCCGCCAAAACGCACATGCTGGTGGTTGAGTGATGTCGTTGTAGCTCGGTGGGGAACTGATGGTGGAGGAGTTGTCTGAAAATTTTGAAAAAATATAATTTTTTGAAAGAAAGTTTTTTTTTCAAAATTTCAAAATTTTTACCTTCATCATCAGAAGAGCATTTAGTGTCGCGGACCATCACTTTCTTCGTCTCATCATCATTTTTCTTCATGCTCATCATATACTGATATTGTTGGACCAGCTCGTCCTCGATGTCCGGGAAATTGACGCCTTTAAATTTTTAGGTCATTTTTTCCAATTTTTTGTTAAAATCGTGTTTTTGAAGTCTAAATACTCTGGAAAACATCTAATACCTTCAAAAAACAAGTTTCCAGCGATTTCTGATTTCGATTTCTGATTTCTGAGGGTTTTTACAAAAAATGTACGAATGGTGCAGTGGGGTTTTTCAAATTTTCAACTACCAATCTGACGACCCGTGTTCGAATCCGCTCGGTGACAAAACTTTTCTTCTTTTTTTTTGTGTATTTTTATTGACTCTAAGATACGTTTAGTATCTGGAAATCCGGAAATTCAAATTTTCAAAAATTAAAAACAAAAAAAAAATGAATTTTTGGATTATTTTTAAAAAATTCAAAAAGCTGAAAAAAGCACTTTCAGCTGTAAAAATATTGAAAGTTAATTGAAATACGCTTTTTTTGAAAGTAAAAGCTTTTTTCTATCTACGGTAGTTTTTGAGCAATGCACCTTTAAATTAAGGGCGCCTTTCCAGACTTTTGGGTGGCGCACCAACTTAAGAGACGCATATCTCATGAATTACAGTAGCTAGAAAAACGTTGTTAACTTCAAATATGTGTTAAATTTAATGTTACACAATTTCATAGTTTGCTAATTTTATCTAGCTACCGTAGTTTTTGAGATATGCTCCTTTAAAGTTGGCGTCTCTCCCGGCCCGACGCTTGAGAGGACGGGAAGACGCGCCAACTTTAAAAGCGCCTATCTTGAAAACTACGGTAGCTAGAAAAAAGTTGTCGACTACAAAAATAAAGCTCTAGTTTTGTTTTATATGTTTGTGAAGTTTCATTGATTTTGTTTGAAGTACTTTTGAAGGCAATCAAGAACTGTTAGTTCTTAAAAATTGGCTTTTTTTCCGAACTAAATTCCGCGCCAAATTTCCGAGCTAAAAAAGCTAAACTCACGACAACGTTGTCTGTGTCCCAAATGCTTCTTCATGTTGGTCTTAAGACGTTGCTCCAACGACTCTTTAAGTGCCACGAATGGAACGGAAACGGCGAGTGCGGCTCCAGCAGTAACTACAACAACTGACGCCATTTCGACGGGCGCCTAGCGTGAATTACGACAATTTGAGTGTTTGAAGAGGGACTTATGCAAATTGGCCCTAGCTGGAAAAAGCTAAAAATTTTGTCTGGAAATTTTTCTCCAAAAAAATTCCAACAAAAATTTTTTTTTCGAAAATTTTTTTTGGATTAGTTTCTGAAAATCCCTCATAACTTTTTTCCCCATTAACCAATTTCTTGGATTTTTAGATTTACAGAATCCTTATAAAATTCTACTTATAATAGTTTTTGAGCTAAAATACAAACTCCAATTCTCAGAATTACCTAGCCAAAATCGTCGTTGTTCGACGCAAAGTAGCGGTGGAAGGTTGAGCGAGCCAAGATTGTTGGATTGATGATAACCACGCGCTTTGACCTGGAATTTTTCAGTTAATTGACATAATTAGAGCCTAATTATCGTTAAATTAGAACTCACAGTTTTGCCAAAGCCAACTTGAATGCGTTAAAGTTTGAAAAAGTCTTGGAACTTTTTCAAAATCTGTCGCAATAAAAATATAAAGTCACACAGTCAAAAATTTGGTTTGAAGTCTGAAAAATCCGAAAATTGTATTAAAAAATGGACGAATAGAGGGGTTTATATGAGATGATGGAAAATAAAATATGTGGAAATTTTATGATAATTCTTTGACGACAGACGACGTCAAAATAGGAGGCGTTGAGAGGAATTCTGAATTCGGCGATTTGCATGTTTAATGTATAGTGTATGTGTCGATTCACGCGAATCACACGACGATTGGTGATGATGTGACGGAAGAGATAAGAGATGAGAGACGCAGAGAAATTGATATGGGCGAAGATAGGAACATCACAAGGTCTACTATACTGTATACAGTGTCTAGACAATAAATTTCGATGAAAAATTTCGAAAAAATCTAGTTAATGTTGGCAGAACTCTTGTTCTGTTATCTTCAAACTATGACGAAAGATATCATAACAACGCTAATAACAGGACCCCCCCCCCCCGCCACTCTAATTTTTTACTTTGAGCCAATTTATCTCGATTTTTATGAAAGATATAAAAAAGTTGTCAACTGATAAAATGTTTATCATATTATCAGAAATATTTTGTCAGTTGACACATTCTTCATATCTTGCACAGGAATTGAGATAATGAAGCTCAAACTTGCTGCCTTTTCATACAGCTAATTATATGGCAGGTCTGCAAAAGACTTTTTTCCAAAAAGGCCACTCTTGGATTTTCTGAAATTCTCATTTATTATTTTTTGTAACTATCCGATTTTCCATAATCCCATATTTCCCAAAAATCAATAAATTTTTTTCTGAATTTCCAAGTTTTCCTGTTGTTGGGGGTACCAGGTACAAACAGTCACGATTTGCATAATCCTAATCTTTTGGAATTTTTCTGACCACTTGTCAAAAGTTTTAAATGTTCAAAATGACAATTTTATAGAAACCAAGAACCGAAAACCGGACTAGAAGTCATTTGTTTTCAACTTTAAGTGATTACAACAACACTTTATCCTTTTTCAAATTCAACGAAATTTTGAGATTGCATAGAGCAAAAATAGAGCTTAATTTCTGTAGTTGACAACTTTTTTCTAGCTACCGTAGTTTTTGAGATATGCGATTTTAAAGTTCTCATGCATGAGCGTTGGTCTGCTAAATATTTTGCAGACCATTTCTCTGCGTCTCTCTAGACCTGCTGTATAGGTTTGTCTTCTTCCAGGGATCATATCTCTTTTGTATAAAAAGCTACAAATAATTTGTCTATTACAAAAATGTGTAAAATTAAATTTCACACACTTTTGCAGTTGACAACTTTTTTCTAGCTACCAGAGTTTTTAAGCTATGCGCCTTTAAAGTGGGCGCGCTTGGGGTGCTCTCCGGAGGGGCGGAGGCTAATTTTAAAGGCTCGTATCTCAAAAAGTATGATAGTTATCAAAAAGTTGTCAGCTACAAAAATAAAGCTTTATTTTTGCTTCATATAACCTAACAATTTCAAACAAATCTGACTATTTTCAGCTGTTTTGTAGGCGTTGAAGTTTCAATTTTTCCACAAAAATAACTATAAAAGATTTATTGAACAAAAACAATGAAAAAAAGTTCACACCTTTGAACATCGATGGATTATTAATTTGCATAAGAATATATTGATTTTGTGCTACTGGGCGGTGGACCTAAAAATCAATTATTTAAACAATTTAATGAATTAGAGGAGATTCTTAGAAATTATTCACCTTGTGAATCGTGAGGTTCTCTAGAAGATGTTCCAATATTCGTCAGTTGATGGACGAGAAGGTTCTTCAGGATCTTTATCATGACCATAAAGTGCATAAAGTTCTGAAAAAAAAATAAAATAATTTAGAGAAATTAGATTTTTAAAAAAGTACCTAAAAAATCTGGTGACAAATCTTCAGTTTCAGAATCTAAAGACTCGGGTGCCTTCGCTCTTTCTCTAACGGTTATCTGTTCATGATCTTCGTGCACAGATTCTGGCATCTCCTCATACTTATCCATTATTTCCTCATAATCATACTCAAATTCAGAAAGCTCATCGTCTTCAGATTCATCCGCATCTACTTTTTTATCGTTCCGACGTTGTATGTCGTTTTTGTAGGACTTTTTCACATTACGATAACTGGACCGTACGGAACAGATTGAAAAGAAAACCATTGTTAAAAAACCGAATAGAAATGGGTATGTCATCAATCTTAAAAAAAGAAAATTTAAGAAAATGGAAAATTAGCTTTGAATACTGAAAAAAAATGCGAAAACGTTGTTCAATTTATCTGAAATTTTTTCACTATATAAAACAAAAATAGAGCTTCATTTTTGTAGTTGATAACTTTTTGATAACTACCGTACTTTTTGAGATATGCTCCTTTAAAGTTGACGCACCTCCACCTACCTTCAATCGTCGGGCAAAAACGCGCGCCAACTTCAAAGACGCATATCTCAAAATGTACGGTAATTATAAAAAAGTTTTCAACTGCAAAAATGTGTGAAATTTTCTTTTACACATTTGTGAAATTGACAACTTTCTTCTAGGTATGAAGGCTTTTGAAATATGGCATTTGGAAGACACAGGTTTTTAGGAGGCGAGCGCATCGCAGAAAAATAGAGGGTCCGTTGGCCTGAATAATTAGCAGACCAATGTGCTAGCTTTAAAATACGCCATCTTCCACGTGGCATATCTCAAAAGTCCTCAGAGCTACAAAAAAGTTGTAAACTACAAAAATGTTTAAAATTAAATTTTAAACTTTTTTGCAGTTGACAACTTTTTTATAGCTACTGTAGTTTTTGAGGTTTTTGAAATACTATGAAGTTGAGCGCTCTTCTCAGACACCCAAAACGCGATGCCAACTTTAAAAGCGGAAATCCCAAAAACTACAGTAGCTAACAAAAAGTTGTTGACTGCAAAAACGAAGCTCTATTCTTGTTTTATATTGCCCCAAAATTTTATAAAAATTGAATGAGGATAAAAAGCTTTTGTATATTTTTAAAGTTGAAGAAACAAAAAACCTAAAAATGCCAACCTGTCATGCAACGGCTTCTCTGTAAACGGTTCAATCACTTCCCCATAAAGAATATTCAGCAGAAGATCGAGTGTCTCTGGCATTTGGGTTACAGAACTTTGAAATCTCGCGAACTTCAAATCCAGTTTCGACAAATCCAGAAGGGACTTTTTGAACTCTTCCAACAGCTTCTTATCAATTGTGACTGATTGTTCGTTTTCGGTTCTATAAATGGCATTTAATCGTTGAAGAGTCATCAAATCAACGTCAACGAAATCCGTAAGGTTCTCGTAAAGCAGTCCGACTTCTTCGAGGGGTAGCGTCGCGTTGGGTCCCTAGAAATTGAGAATTTAGTTCATTGAACTCTAAATTTTAGGTTCTTCATGACGAAGGGGGGGGGGGGGGGGTATTGTGACTGTTTTCATTAAAGTTTCGTTCTTTGGGCTTGAATCACTTTAATTTGAATAAAAATATTACTTTTTGGGCCCCTCTAATAGAAGGGCCTTCCGAGAGGAGTTTGAAAAAAAAGAAGAACTCCCACAAAAATGTGTCAAGAATTCAAAAACTTTTCGTGCGTTTTCAGTGAAAAATATTTTTTAAATTCCACAGTTTTACAGACACTATTTTTTGATTGAAAACTAGCTCAATTTCGGAGAAATTGACCGATTTTCATGAATTTTGAAAAATTTCGGAAAAAAATGGCCGGAAAAATAGAAGGGCCGCTGTGTGCCCTTCGGAAATACGTTGGAATAATAAAAGA